ACATTGACACATTAACTCAAAATGATGCCATACTGTGTTCAATCAGAAATCAGGGGAGGGCATAGCACTCTCTTGGCCGTACCAGCATTTCACATTTATGGACACAAATTGCCATGCCAGGTAATTTCATTGAGTTTATAGAGACATCAGGACTGTGTCAGATATCATTCACTGTCTGCCTCCATTTTCCTGTCTATCCACTGCACTGCTGAAATTAAGTAGAAATGCCTAGAAGTAATCGTAAAGCTTTTCCCGCTTGGTGTGTGTTCAAGTCTTTTTCAGTGATGCGCTGTTTAGGACACAATGGAGACTGCATATAGTGGTCACGTCTGTCCGGGTCAAATTGATTACTATAAGCAGATGATTGTTATAACCAAAGTTTATTTCTCATGCAGGTTACCATCTAATTGGCATTTGTGTATTTATGGATTATTACATGGATATAAATGAATGAAATGGACAGTTTCGCTATTTACAGATTTAAAAGATAAAATAACATAAGCTGAGCAAAGGCCCTCTCCTGCTCCAAGCCCTGTCTGAAGGGTCAGGGTGAAAGCATTACACTCCACTCACGTAACATACCGCAGGCCGAGCTACTGCTGTGATAGAGTGGGGAAAATAATTGTGCACCGTCCCAAAATGCGAGCAGAGCAGGAATGGAAGGGCCAAATAACTCACTGAGCCTCAGCAGGAAAATATCACATGATGCTTGACTGCGCACAGCAAGCATATGTTCACACACAGCCTAACTGAACACTGTAAGCAGACTATTTGATTATTCTAAATTATTATTATAAAAATAAATATATAGGATGGATTCTGTCCTGAGCTTTTGGATCCATTTAAATAGATGATCACTGCAACTGTTTCCAATTTAGTAGGATAATGTGCAACGTCAGTGTATGTGATATTGTATGACTTTGCTGTAATCGCAGATCAAGTACAACACCAGACGGCTTGATGGTTTTGGGCTCACGGCTTTGGACGGGGAAGGAATGGAAAGGCTGTGGTCTTTCCTCCAAGACTTGCCAGAGTCACAAAGGAGATGACTCCCTCGCACCGCCTGGACCTGTTGACTGATGCCCTTCTGCTTTATGGACGGAGGAAATCAACTGACCCAGGTTTGTCTACTGCTGTATAACAAAATTCTGTCCTGGTGGTTTAAGCTGATGACACACAAATTGGTCAGCAGAAGTAAACAAAACTGTCTTTACAGAGGTGCAGCTCCTGCAAAAATTAGACAAGGAAGAGAAAATATCAATCCTCGCTCAAGAAGACATCTCATCTGTCATCAGAGAAGCACCAGGTAAGTCATGCACATGCAGGTAACAATAGGTGTGAACAGGAAACTTTAGATTCCATTTACAAGCGCCCTTTGCACAGAGTATGTAGCATTGACACTTGTTTATTTTCTGTTATTTTTATTGTCTAGTGTTAGTCTCAGAGCGAGACATGGAGAGATGGAAGAAAAGGGAGCTGGAGCTAGCCCAAGAAAAACCAAAGTCAACTGAAGTGAATGCTTGAATGTCTTGGAATATTGTAAAAAGGTAACACATATAATTAACAAAGATATTGCAAATACGTTAATATGTACTTTTCCATGTACAGTAGAGTATCCTGTAAACTATGTTGGTGAAGAACATGAAATGATGCACTTTATTAGAAGTAGCTGTAGTAATGTCATTATCTGTTCTCCAGGCACTGTCTGTAGATGGAAAAGGGACTATATCACTAAGCTGATTCAGTTCTACATGTTCAAGTAAGCGTTCAAGTTGTTTATGTAAGACTATATGGGAATTACACCCATCTTTGAGTGCCTTACTGATGTGCTTAAACATGGAAGCCTTGGTGTGATTACATAGCTATGAGCGAGACAATAACACCGTCTTGTTTTCTAGGAAACTGTCACAATGCAGTAATTAAATATGGTGTGATTAATAATCAATTACCACCAAGCTCCCCCTGTAATGTACAAAGTTTGGTCAGGTGTACCACAGGAATGTTTTCTGGTTGGTAATTACTGATGTGTTGTGCTATACATTTTATAATATATAGATCTGGGACTCGTGAGTCACACATGGAGGATGAAAAAGAGCAAGTAAGCAGTATCAGTCTGTTACTGTTCTCTGATTAAGTGCCTAATTAACAGTCATTTTTACTCTCTGACCATTTTAGAATTGAGAACTCTCTGCTAAACATTGAGAAAAAAACACAGCATACGGAGAAGATGGCAAGAATCTGATTTAATCTTCCAGTCTACCCTTAAAGAAGTTGACTGTGATGTCAGAGGCCAACTGATCTGGAAGGCTAGAACTGAATCAAAGGAGAGAGCCGTCCTCCTCCATCTGAAGAGAAAATATCCAGGTAAAGTGCTGTGGATAAGTAGATAAATAAAAAAAAATAAGATCCAACTCTGTAAAGGACCATAATAATGAAGGCGTTTGTTTGCATGTCTATTTTATAACTTTACTTTATGGGCAGGGCATTGCCATTAGACTGTCCAAGCAGGTTGCCAACTCCAACAAGAGACTGAGACAGGCAATAAAAGAGTACAACAGCATTCAGTGGCCACCACAGATCAGCATCTGCAGCTGTATCATACAAATAAATAGTTAAAAAATCATACATTGTGATTTCTGGATTTTTTTTTTAGATCATGTCTCTCACAGTGGACATGCACCTACGATGACAATTTCAGACCCCTCCATGATTTCTAAGTGGGAGAACTTGCAAAATAGCAGGGTGTTCAAATACTTATTTTCCTCACTGTAGGTTCTGTGTGTGTCTTCATTGTAAGTGGTCACAATCCAATTAAGGCTGTGTTGCTGATCACTTTATTAGTGTAACTGCAACAGAGTCCATGTTTGTTTTTCATGAGCTGTGATCTGTCCTGCCAATTTAAACAAAAAATGGTTTAAACTTGCTGTTTTGGACAATAAACACTGTTTTTGTAGAAGCTGCTGTCTAAGTAACTTTCTACAGCCTAGTAATACTCAAGGTGTAGTCAGCTTTGGTGTTATGAACTTTACAGTTAACACTAACCATTTTATTGTTTTTGTAAAACATGCTTTTGTAAAAAGGACACCTTTGTAAAACATATTTAAATGAAGGTTACTTCCACAATACACTCAATATAAGTCGAAACGGAGAATACAGGTATACTGACTCTACAATAGCATTCCCACAATGAGTTACAGGTGTGTTTTCAGCCATTGTCAGAACAGTTATTCACAGCACACTTGAGAAGTAAATAAAAAAGTAACTTATTAATATATGACCTATACAATCATTTTACAGTCATAATCAGCCTGACAGTGGTCCTCGTACGTTCTTACTAAAGGTGTTTTTGGCATGAAATGCTCCCTGATCAAGGCCGATGTAGGTGAGCAACTTTTTTTCCTCTTCCCATTGGCTGCTTAGGGTATCAGGCCTTGACGTCATGCGGAAGCTGTAAAACAAGGGATGAGACTGCAAAGCTGTAAATGTTCATTGTCACTATGCAGTATTTTAAGATAGTATCGGCATTAAGATGCGTTTTGCGTATTAAGTATTTTTAGTCTTTAATCAGAGAATGTATATAGTATTTAGTTTTATCTTTAGTTCTTTGCTGAAAGCCGAAACCACGTCGCTTGCATGACGTAGCCCGCCCGGAAGTATTTTCTTCACTGTCAACCTAAGATATATTTTAATGATATCTTTAGCATTTTTAACAGAAGAACAGGAACTTCATAACTCAACAATAGTTTAGAGTTTCATGTTAAGGCTTTCACTTTTTTTGGTAGTGGAAGGTTACGGAAGTGCTTTATTTTGTGGGCGGAGTTTGCCTTTTGGACTCCTGTTTCTGCTAAAATATGTGAAATAAACCAAGATAATTACTTTTTCTTAACATGGATTATCTACATTCAGTGTAAGTAGTAGTTCGGCTGTACTAGATATTTTATATATTCAGTAGGTATATGTTTTTACAACCCTATATTACAACCCTAACTTTGCACACAGGAAAAACTACAACTGTGGTGCTGATTTGACTCAAACTGCATGGCGTGGCTATAGAGAATTGTAGTTTCTAAAACGTATTAACGTTTATGTAGAACTGGAATTTGGAATTTTAACCACATTTGATTGGGCCCCCAGTTGTTGACTATACTCAATTGACAGCTAAGGTCAAGAGCTCTCTTTAACAGTTGGTCCCATGTCTGTAGTCTCTTTCGTTGATGTATTATAAGCATTCAAACATGCACCAAGGTGAAGGTTCAAAGGTCAGTGTTTCAAAGCAGGATCCATTTAGAATCTTCATACTGATATATGGTAATCTACAGGTTGAGACCTTTCCAACGATGTATTGGTTTAGCTCTACAGCAAAGTTTTAAATTTCTCATTTCAGGAGCAAGCCATTCCAGGTCTAGTTTCAAAGAGCACTTTGAAGGCTCAATATATAAAAACAAACATTTCATGTATTTTTTTTTTGTGAAAATAGTGACCAAATGAGTCACTCACACACAAACTCTGTGCATTTTTGTTGGGGACACCCTTTGTATATGCTTATCTATTTACGTTAATGCTGCTATGATGGTAAAGAAAAACAAAACATCAATGAATAAGACCATGGCCTTGGGTTCTTCATGACATGACACATAGGCCTAGTGTAGGCCCTGCTGTATCCTGTGTACTTATTTATCAGTTTAAAGATACGGAAGTACGGCATGCAAGCTACGTGATTTCAGCGATGGATGCGTCCGTAGCATCTATTACATTTAAAGTTTAAAAAATAAATTGTAGTCTTCAACTGAATGGCAAAGTTTTCACAAGTGTCACTACTGCTCTGACATAAAACATCTTTTTAAAATCCATTTTCCCAAATACCTACCAGTGACAATGCAACAGGAAATTCTAACCATCATGTGTAGGACTGAAAAATACATTAGACCGATGTGAAGCGTCTAATCATATCAACATAAACAGAGATTTATAAACAAATAGGCTTTTCATTTACAACACAGGTACTCAATTCAGTAGAACTTTATTTAGTTCCCCACATGGCACAGTTTAAAAAGGGACCACATCGATGGGGCCAACAAACATCAACAATAAATAAAAGGAATCTTAATTAGGCTGAATGAAAATTTCACTGTTTTCTTCTTACAGGGCAAAATATATGTAGCGCCGAGATTTATATAAATTTCATTTTTAATAGAAAAAACTGCTGCTTACTGTCAACACAGTAAGAAAACTCAAACAACTTAAACTCAACTCAACCTTGGAAAGCAGTAAACATTACATGTTTCCTAACACTGATGCAAAAGGTCAGCGTGTGTGCGTGGTGGTTTGACACTGGCAGTGAAGGCACATGTTGCTTTTAAATCCACATGCAGTGTGTGACCACAGTTGGCACACTGTGCACTGCGACCATGAACGCCACTTCTTTGTAGCATTCTTCTTCTTGTCAACAAAATGGATGTGGCAGACACAGCGCAAACTGCCTCGATCTACCAAAGGAAAAACAAAAATATTTTGGAGGTGAAACCAGTTTGCTGAAATCAACCTATTCAAAGCAATGTTTCAAAGTAAGCTTTTCATTTACAACTGCTGCCAAATTAAAATTTGGGTATTGCACATCAATTCACCAGAACTGACACCCACCATCTCAGATCTTGCTGATGCTGTATCATAAGATACAAGCAGGTCAACAAAGAAGGGTTCCTGGGGCCCATATATGAAAGCGGGTTTAATGAAAACTCTTGAGTTTAACCCTGAAATGAGGTAAACTCTTGGTTTTCCTTTTCAGACCCTTTCAGAAAGCGAGGTAACTTTAGCCCAGAGTCAGTTACAATGGTAACTGAGTGTGAGCTTTTTTCTTCAATAAACCTTGAGTTTCTCAGTCTCCTCCCTCTGACACAGCGCTGTTTCCTCATTACTTCATTTAAGAGTTTTACCATCCGTGTCAATAAAAATTATCAGCATTTTTTAATGAAGTCTGTTAGGCAGACTAAAATAAGGTGACCACTGACCAGAAGTCCCCATTTATGGTTTTCTGTCCCTGGCTATAGGTGTCCCCGGAAAGGTTCCCAATTTTCTATTCTGAAATCTCATCACTACTTTGTTCTTATATTTCCATTTTAGCTTCTTTCACATCTGTTCTATACAGAATTGCACCTGAATGAAAATTATGTTAAATCTCATTCCACTTCACCTGTAATATTATAATTGTGATTAAATATAAATTAAATAAACTATATTCACTTTTTAAGAAGAATATCTGTTCAAACTCTCCTTATGTTTTGCCTGAGGATTTCCACCTCCAGACGTGTGAAGTATGAGGAATGATTATTTTAGCTGTTGCCATGGTGAATCGTAGTATCATGGCTCAATTCATGCTGCCTGTTTAGAGTGGTGGTGCACACGCTTGACTGAGAGTGAACCTACTCTGAGTTGATTAAACAAACTCAAATCAGCTGTTCTGGAGCCGGAAACTCAATAGTTTCCCATCTCAGGGTAAATAAACTAATCATAATTGATTCTTTATTAATGTGCATTGTCTGCTATGTAGCATTAAAGAGTTCCATCCCTCGTCAAACACTTATCCTGCGTACATGGTCGCGGGGCATTAGAGAGCGTGTTATAATACAATGTGTTGTATTGTGACAATAAACCTACCTACCTGGAGTTCACTGTTAGAGTTTTTTGAACCTGCTTTCTGAAATGGGCCTCTATCATATTGTTTTGGGCAAAAATGTTCATTGTATGTAAATGTATTATTGATCGTATTTGTTTAAAATGTCATAGCCCTTATGGTGACTACATGAAAAACAATTAACTGAGACACAAACTCATATTGCATAGTTTTTATATAGAGTACATCATGAATGTTATCCTAATTACTAGTATTACATATATATTAATAAATAAACTGATATTTTCAGCCATTTTGATTTCTGATTTCTGATTTTCTAAGACTCAATAATTTTCAGACTAAGATCTACATAAATCTAGAAGTAATGATTAAGGCACAAAGAATCCAAACAGCTAAATGCTCCGTATTTTAAATTTATTCATTTAGCTGACGCTTTTATCCAAAGCGACTTACAATTGCTATACATGTCAGAGGTCGCACGCCTCTGGAGCAACTAGGGGTTCAGTGTCTTGCTCAGGGACACAATGGTGGATGTCTTACAGTGGGAATCAAACCCAGGTCTCCCACACCAAAGGCAAGCATCTTATCTATGCGCCACCACCACCCCAATGGTGATGGGGTCTGATCCTTTTAAATATCTCTGATCCTTTTAAATATTTCAAAGGAGAGCAGCAAATATAATTTCACCATGTACATCGATGTACAGAGCTGAACTTGAGCTGAAATTGAAGTTTATGATTTATTACTATGATGCATGAGTTTGTATTTTAAAGAATTGTACTGGGCAATACCCTTTGTCTCAAGATGTTTTTATGCTTTAGGTCCCTTATGTCTCTACACAGAGTGGAAAAGGGGTGTTTATGTATTCTGCACTTTCTGCCTTGAATCTGCTCCTGAAAGACTTAAAATTGAATCTTCCTAAAAGCTTTTATATCCAAAATGAAAAAAATTGGATATTTAGTTCGTCTATGCCTCTGTTCCCAAAGCTGTTCCTATTGTAGTATTGTAATCTGTCTAAAACTACTTGTTTTTATCTATACTGAAGTCAATCTTAGCCAGGTCTCCCTTAAAAAATTGATTATTAGTCTCAATGAGACTTCCTGGTTAAATAAAAATAACCACAATTTAGATACCTTCATCTGCAGTCATCAGGATGGCTACATTACTGGTTGTTTCTGAGGATTCCTCTTCCATCTGCTGTGCACCTACAGTACATAAGACAAAACACAACAACAGCCTTCTCAATACAATCAATTTCAATACAAATTTTGAATCTTCATTACAAATTCTTAGTGAAATTTGTTAGCATTTATGCTGTCGATGGTTAAAGTAAATGAATGAATTTAAAGTGTAAAATGATCAAAATACCAAACTTATAAAAGTTGTTTAATGTCACGTCGATAAATATTGTATCTATATATTGTACTTTTCAAACAAGTGAGCTTTTCTCTCTCTGTGTCAAATGTCAATGGCAGACTTCTCAGAACAGAAGTTCTAATTAAGCTTTAATTTAAGCATTAACAAAAACTGATTTGTAGCAATTGGCATTCGAAATGTATTACGATTACAAGAAATACCATTTTCACACATGGCCTCTAATATCTCTTCCACCGACTTCGTCTGGAGGTCATCTGCTGTGTCTGTTGATTTGAAGACATTACACTGTGACACAAAGGTGATTTCACCATATTATTTACATCATACAATAATGTGTACCGTGGTCAAACGTGCTGTGTAATTAGGTAGATTGACCACAGTTACAAATCTAGTAAAGGATGCTTCTTCAGTTTAATAGTAAATATTTATGTAAAGATAAAATAAAAAACAACTCAGCCTACATTCTGCGTTGATGTGTTCTAAACTTCCCTCTGCTGAGTCAGTGGGGTGGCATTGTGCTGCATCTGATAGATATTTAGGCAAAAAAGGAAGACAAATAAATGGTATTCCTGCATTGCTGGAGAAAACATAATCACACATCTATGTATCTATGAAGGAATACAATTCTCAGGAATGAAAAACAGACAATTTAATTGCTGAATGGTCGAGTGATGATGGGGCAGTAGATAAGACACATGGCTCTTGTGTGGGAGACCTGGGTTCAATTGTGACATCTACCTATGTCTCCCTAAGCAAGATACTTAACTACTAGTTGCTCAAGAGGCGTGCGACCTCTGACATGTATAGCAATTGTAAGTCGCTTTGGATAAAAGCATCAGCTAAATGAATAAATGTAATCTAATTGCTCATTACATACATTTGGATTACATACTTTGAGTATGGTAATCATTGGATGACTTAATTAATATTAATGTTTATTTGGGATGAATTCATTTAAAATGATGAAAGAATCTACAGAAAAACACATCTCACATCACAATTGCTGTCAATCTAGCTTACACCTAATACTGTAATGCTACTATAGTGCCAACTCATACCACTAATGTCAAGCATATGAAGCTTCTTTCCAAACCTCCAACTTCAGCTTCTTCAGATGCTTTTTAATTTTGAGCTCCCTCATCTCAGGGCTAATGTCCTGTGCCTGCCCGTATGCCCTCAGTGCTTCTGCCTCTTGAAAGTATTTCTGCTTCTCGTCTTTCCCTAATGTGGACCACTTGCCCTTAATATAGTTCATTGTGCCTAAGGGAAAAAATAGATGCACAGAAAACTTAACTTTGGAGTCTGCATCTCTTTTTTTAAAGTAAATTCATACAGAGATAATCTGTCCAACACGCTGGATCACACTTGGGTTGTGAAACCCATTACATTGTAACAAGCCTGTACAACAGGCTTCAATAGACACAGAACTCTTGCACTGAAGTATGAAATCCTTCAAATACTATACTACAAATTCGTTTCACAACTCTTGCGAACCCCTGATGTAAACAGGACCGCTACGTACAACAACAACTAACCATTTAGTATAACAATTAAAAGCATCCAATACTGACTCATACCTTTGTTTCTGAGAATGTCCCTACATAAAAGATTGTATGGTGACAGTTCTCTTGTGTGTATTTTGGGCTTTGACTGCCAGGGCTCAGAAGCAGCTTTGGACCTTTTGTAGTTACCAATCCAGTTCTGAAAGAGAGAAAACTAAAATAATGAAAGCGTATTATACCAATTAAACTTAATGTTAATAAAAACATTTATACCAGCAATACAGCAGAATGATATATTTATTTGACATGTTGAGTGTCATCTTACTTCTATGACACAGTTTTCCAAACCAGTAGCTGATGCAGCTCTTGGAATTAACGGTGAGCCAACATGTTTCATTCCCTCCTTAAGAAAGGATTTACCAGTCTGGTTTTCTGAGAATAAAAGGATTTTACAGTTATTGCTGAGGTACTCTTCCCTCCCCTATTTTGATTTTATGATGCAGTATATCAAAATGACAGAGATGTAAAGACAATAATCAAATGGAACACTTTGGTACCCGCCATGTGGTGGTTGGGACATTCTACAACTTAAACTTGGCTCAAAATGGCTTACAAAAATCTGTCGTGGACGTCATGCGTTATAGGCTAGAGGGCGTTACTCAATGCAGGGCTGAGATAGCCGGTTTGTATCCATTCCACCCATTGTTATAGGCTAGAGGGCGTTACTCAATGCAGGGCTGAGATAGCCGGTTTGTATCCATTCCACCCATTCCTACCCCGTGCTTTCTACTGAAACGGGTTGTTCACCCTGAGATGAGAACGGGCTCGGTTGTTCTATCTCACACAGGCTCCGCCCTCTACTGGACTTGCCCACTAAAATGTTATCGTGCATGTAGCCGACCAATAGGACGTCGCTACCGATACGTGCGTGACGTATGAATAGCAGTTGCTCTCACCTCTAAGAAGGTGTGTGAGCTGTGTGCCTGTCGGTTCACCCCAGCTGCATGCTGGTTCTTGGTGTCCACAGTGCAGCCAGATTGAGACAACACTCCTTTGCTCTTAAGAACATAAGGAGCATGTTCAGGTCCAGGACAATAAATCTGGATGCTTTCTACCCCCCTACCCCACTTAGGGTGCAGGGAGGTGAGAGTGCATCTGTTGTGTCCATGTATGCTAGGCTAACGTCCTATGTAGAGCACACAGCCCCCATTCGATGCACTGGTCAGCTGTTTGTCTGTTTCAGTGATAGTGCAGTCAGTAAAACCCTGTCCAAGAGGAGCCTGGCCAGCTGGCTTTGTGAGTGAATCTCCGAAGCCTGTACACGGGCGGGAACAGACTCACCCTTAGCGGTGCGTGCACATTCCACTCGGAAGTGTGGAAGCATCTACGACCCTTTTTCAGCGGTGTGTGTGTCGAAAAGATCTGCACAATGGCATCTTGGCCCTTACTGTGCCCGTCTGTGCGTTTCTATCTCTTGAATATGTCGGGCTCCTTCTTGGGATCCAGCTCGCAAGTGCGACCTAGGATCTGAAAAGTGAGGATCTGGTGACTACTGGGTGTAGAGGGGGAACATACACTGGCAGTGCCTGATCTATTGCAAATAGAGCTGACTTGTCACTTGCATCCTGCCAAAGCATATTTGTTGTACACGATCAGTTTGCTTTGGCTCATATGACTGCAATCTTCACGCTGTGGTCATGATTCTAAACAAATATGACTCTTACTGATGTCCCTTGTTTGGGTTACAAAGGGGGGAGGCAAAAAAAAAGAAATGAATTAAAATATTTGAAAGGTGCTTCAAGGTCTGCATCTCAGCCTGATCTTTCAATTCAATTCAATTTTATTTATATAGCGCCAAATAACAACAACAGTTACCTCAGAGTGCTTTTAATAAAAGAGCAGGTCTAGACCGTACTCTGATGATATTTACAGAAATCCCCCGGCAGTCTAGGCCTATAGCAACTAAGGGATGGTTATAAGCTTTATCAAAGAGGAAAGTCTAAAGCCTACTCTTAAATGTGGAGATGGTGTCTGCCTCCTGAACCCAAAGTGGAACCTGGTTCCACAGGAGAGGAGCTTGATAGCTGAACACTCTGGCTCCCATTCTACTTTTGGAGACTCTAGGAACCACAAGTAACCCTGCATTCTGGGAGCGCAGTGCTCTGGTGGGGTAGTAAGGTACTATGAGCTCTTGATAAGCTATGATAAGATGGTGCCTGACCATTAAGAGCTGTAGGTGAGAAGAAGGATTTTAAATTCTATTCTAGATTTTACTGGAAGCCAATGTAGAGAAGCTAAAACAGGAGAAATGTGATCTCTTTTCCTGGTTCCTGTCAGAACACGTGCTGCAGCATTCTGAATCAGCTGAAGAGTCTTAATGGACTTTTTTGAGCCTGATAATAAGGAATTGCAGTAATCCAGCCTAGAAGTAACAAATGCATGGACTAGTTTTTCTGTATAATTTTTAGACAGGATGTTCCTGATTTTTTGCAATATTACGAAGGTGAAAAAAGGCAGTCCTTGAAATTTGCTTGATGTGAGACTTAAACGACATGTCCTGATCAAAGATAACTCTGAGATTCCTCACTGTGGTGCTGGAGGCCAGGGCGATGCCATCAAGGGAAACTATAACTATATAACTGAGTATCATCTGCATAACAATGAAATACTATTGCCTAAACGAAGCATATAAAGTGAAGAGGATTGGTCCGAGCACAGATCCTTGTGGAACTCTGAGAAATAGGACTTAAACCAGCTTAGAGCGGTTCCTTTAATGCCAATTAAATGTTCCAGTCTCTGTAACAGGATCTGATGGTCAATGGTATCAAAAGCAGCACTAAGATCTAATAAAACCAGTACAGAGACAGGTCCTTTGTCTGATGCAGTTAGGAGGTCATTAGTAATTTTCACCAGTGCTGTCTCTGTGCTATGATGAACTCTAAATCCTGACTGAAAATCCTCAAATAAACTATTGCTATGTAGAAAGTCACACAGCTATTTTGGCGACTCTTCCTTTTAGAGAGAAATGGAAGGTTAGATATAGGTCTATAGTTTGCTAAAACATGTGGATCAAGGTTGGTCTTTTTCAGAAGAGGTTTAATTACAGCTACTTTAAAGTACTGTGGTACAGAGGGAATGAAAAGCGCGGTGAGATAACTGTTGTTGTGATTTGGCGCTATATAAATAAAATTGAATTGAATTGAACTGGTACACAGCCTGTTGATAAAGAAGCTCAAGAAGTCGTAACTACTGAGAGCTATGGGAATACTTGGCTCAATAGAGCTATGACTCTCTGTCAGCCTGGCTACAGTGCTGAAAAGAAACCTGGGGTTGTTCCTAGTTGTCTCTATTAATGACGAGTACTACGCTGCTCTGGCATTACGGAGGGCCTAAAGTTGACAAAAACTCTGCAAATTCAGATAAGAATTCAGAGTACGGACCAGGGGCCTCATTTATAAACGTTGCGTACGCACAAAAGAAGGCGTACGCCGCTCTCTACACAATAATTGGTATTTATAAAAAGTAAACTTGACGGTAAAATGTGCGGTCCTTCAAGCAAGCTCTTACCCAGGCGTACGCACAAAAACGGGTGAAATGAGAAATGGCAACACCGTCGGCAGATGGAAGAAACAGGTGAAAGTGAGTGAAACTGTAGATCGTTGTAAAATAAATGGCAATACTGCCTCTCATAAATAACACGAAGACTTCACAAAGCAAGTCTTACAATTAACAGCCTACACAAACACCCGTTTGATCGATCTGCAACAGAAATGCAAATTAACACATATTTCCAAAAAGTGAAATATGTTCTGCAATAACATTGGCATGTTATACAATTCATCCTCATAAATAAGATGGTAAACAGAACGAAATAATGTACAAAACTGATATTCTCGCCAATGTGTCCGTCTGGCGGAGCAGATATAGATGCAATTAGATAGTCAGTCAGATAGATAGATAAATTAGGGAGATATATAGATAGATATATAGATAGATAGATAAATAGATATTATTTGTCCACTGGGGAAAGTTGTTTTCATAGTAAAAATGTCTTCATCAGCTACGGAATCATGGTATTCATGCATATGCCTTTAGTTTGTTTTATTTTTGATAAAATAACGTATGACGTATGTCTCAACCATTTAGAAAGAAATTACATTTGCGCTGAACTATTTCCCATTTCCAAGTAGATTATAACCGACATCTGTAGCTTGTCAGATGCAATTAAATCTTGCGCTCTTAGAAGATGTGGCAAATGGAAGGATTCGGAGTGAACGCATCTTCAGACAGCAAGAAGACTTGTTGGCAAATGAGGACGAGTGGCTTATGAGCCGGTTCCGACTTCCTCGAGCCGTCCTGATGGAGCGCTAGACGCTTTTTTGCCTCGACTTTGATGTCCGACCATTTCTTTTTTATTTCAGCCACAGTCCGAGGTTGTTAGGCTACAGCATTTACGGCGTCTGCAACCTTTTGCCACTCAAGTGCCTTTTTGGCATTAGTAATGCCCACACTGTGCCCTCCAAACAACATTTTTCTCCTCTTTTCCACCTCGCCAACGATAACTTCTACTTCACATTGAGTGAAGTTTCGTTTTTTTGATTTCCTCTCTGTGTTTGCCATGATTTCGCAATCGATGAATATTAACTTGTGGGCGTTTCACGGACTATTTATGGGCAACTATGGGCGTGACATGAAGCCGCAAAAGCTGCGCTACATTTAGAATTGATTGTGATTTATTAAGGGAAAAATGCGTAGGATGTGCGTGCGCACGGTTTTATAAATCCGAATATTTCTGTGCGTACGCAAGTCCTATGTTTCATCCGTACGCCACTTCTGACGCAAATCCTACGCAAAGTTTTATAAATGAGGCCCCAGGTGCTCGGTACACTATTACAAATAGAATTGGTTGCAGTGATTTCCAACTTGGGTGGACGTAATCACAAAAGAATATCTTTTGTACACACTATAGTGAATAAATCCTCTGATGAGCCAAGCTAAAGTTTCCTTCTGAGTGTGATTATGTATTATGCACATGGTTGCAATGTCATGCAATATATCACATTCTGATGGAATTTATCAAGAAATAAAAGCATAGTTTGATGACGTGTAAAACACGTACTTAATAGTAATCCTAGGTTGTATGTTTTTAGCATTCTTTGTGAGTTATTTTTAAATAAGTTCAGCACTGATTACTTCTACTAGTTCTGAATTAGTCACCTACAAGAGTAAAATGCAGTTTCCCTCACCAA